TGTGGAATGCACTTATCACTCATTTACCGTGAAACAAGTTAGTTCTAGTATCGGCCCTCCCGGAGGAGTGTCTTAAAAATGATAATCCAAACTCAATTAACCCTTAAACAAGTTGGTGGACGGTACAGTAGGCTCTTGGGTCACTGAAAATAACACACAACATTATGTTCAGACGATTTTCCGCCAGATAAATGGGCACTTGTCGTACGACCTGTGCGAATCAAATCGTAGAATGTCTGTGATTGGTGCAACTTCGCCAACCACTTCAACTTTGTAACCGACCACATCGCGATGTCCCAAAGATCTTCCTCCACCACCAACGCCAACCCAGCTTTGTCGAACTTGGACAGCCCCATTAACATTCTCCAATTTCCCATATCTTGACATGGTTGCTACTGGACATAATGTCGGCATCGCGTTTGCGCTCAACATCGCCGCCGGCCTCGCCACGTGCATCGGCGGGTCGGTCGTGTTCAGCAAGAGCCTCGTGCACCTCGCGAGCCCCAAGAGTCTGTCGGTGGCGCTCTCCCTGTCAGCGGGGGTGATGCTCTTCATTTCGCTCGTGGAAATCTACGGCAAGAGCGTCGAGGGGTTCACGGCGGGCCTTGGCGAGGACAACGCTGACGGCGAGTACGAATGCGACCAGACATGCCAGGGCAACTCGTGGCTCGCGGGTACGGCGTGCTTTGTCACGGGCTTCTGCATCATCTACGTCATGGACTGGATTGTGCACAAAATCTCGCCCGACTTTTCTGACGAACTCGACGTGGCCGACCTGCAGGCGCTCGAAGTCGCCGTGGACCCGACGCTTCCCCACTTCCACGCCACGGGCACCCCCGTCGCCAATTCCAAGCTCGACGACGAAAAGACCATCAAGTTCAACGCCAAGTCCCGCCATCAGCTCAACCGGACGGGGGTCCTCACCGCCGTGGCCATTGCAATCCACAATCTCCCCGAAGGCGTCGCCACATACATCGCAGCCATGCGCGACGTGCGCGTGGGGGCGGTGCTCGCCATCGGCATTGCGCTGCACAACATCCCCGAGGGCATCGCCGTGGCTACGCCCGTGTACTTTGCCACGGACAGCCGGTGCAAGGCGTTCCTGTGGACGTTCATCTCTGCGCTGGCCGAGCCGTTGGGGGGAGTCTTGGCATGGCTAGTCGTGGGCGAAGGACTCAACCCCGTCGTGGAGGGCGTCATGTTCGGCATTGTCACGGGCATGATGGTCACCATTTCCATCAAGGAGCTCATCCCCACGGCGGTCAAGTACTGGCCCCAAGGTAGCGTCGTCACGGTTGCGATCTTCGGCGGCATGCTCATCATGGCCACCAGCTTGATCCTCTTTGCTTACGCCGGGGTCTAAGCCATTTGTAATATATAATAATCGAACGATCTCATACTTTACAGTTAGGGCTGAATACGAATTCACAGGTACTATAACAAATTCGTACGTCACATGTGTCCAATCCTAGTACTATTAGTAGTACAGCGAACTTGGTAATAACTCGCAAGCGTGGCATCCATGCGCCGCACACATCATGTTCCGCACCCCGCAACAAACAATCTGATTTTGGCCCGCCATCGTCGATGCCTTTAGTTCTCAACATGTAGGTGGCATCCGACATCAAACCGACAAATTTGGAGCCGATGATTGGATAACCGACAACTTGTTGAATTTTGATTGGTCAGATATTTTATAGGCAATCTGATTGGGCGATGTAGTTGTCGGTTGAGCAACATAATATATAACATATACAGCTTGCTATTGGCTGAAAACAGAGTCGTATCGACATACTCCGGAACATATGACCTCGACTCAGCATCCCAAGAACAGAAATACGTAAGTGGAGCAGTCACCAGGCGAAATGGCCGTGCCACAGTTGGGACGTGTGCCGATGGTAAACTCACGAATGATCAGTACACTGCAGCACACTGATATTGGTGTGGCCACTAAACCGAGGGGTCACGTCAATTGGTGACGCGACCCAAGAGCAGTCGACCACGCCACGCTCTTTTGTCCAACTTACCGCGTATCTTAATTATGGTGTCTTTAACTGTACCCTTTCTAGATTCCTCATTGGAAATGCAAGCGATTGCAACATCGCTGGAGGTGACAGGGTTTCTGTCCCCATGCCTCCATGAGACACAGCAAGAACTGTGATCAGGCCGCAAAC